AAAACTGGAGGCTGAGGGATTGCTGCAAAGAGCTGTCATAACATGCTCATCCAGGAGGGAATTGTGCAAGTCAATGACTCAACACAATCTGCTGAGTTTCCTCATACAGGAAACATTATAACCAATTTGACTGGATTTAAGCTTTATGCTTAAATCCAGTCAAATTGTTTGTAAATAACTACTATCACTTAAAGCCTTTGCTTAATATATTTGATTTGTTTTGAAAGATATAGGCTGATATTTTTAGGAAGAAATATCTCAGATAACGTTGCAGATTTTCTGAAAAAAAGTTCAGATTACTTGTGTATGGACTTTAATAGAAAGTAGGATGCTCCAGGCCTTAATTGGAAGACTTAGACCATGATCTGATATTTTGCTCACTTCTGTAAATTAACTATTTTACCTTTTACTAAGTTAGAAATAATTGCTGAGGTTGCTGTTCAAATATGAAACTCAAAATCTGTAATAAAGTCTATATGAGGTAAGTCTAGAACTCATGAGATCATGGAGTGTTTTGGTACCTTGAAGATCAGTTAACAGTTATAAGTTTCTTTATCGGGACCAAGAGATAATAAAATATAACGACCAGTCAGAGACTCGGCAGTCAGACTCTTTATTCTGAGTCTATTAGAAGTTTTTACATAATTTATGTGATTAAAATCCAATAATCTATCTGAGAGTTAGACTTATGGCTAACAGATTATAAAAGATTTGTAAAAGTAGGGTAAAACTAAATCCTCATTTCTGAGAGACTATACTCACCCAAGAAACTTCATTGTTGCTATTTTTGTTACTGTTAACATCCTCTCCTATATACTGTTTCCACCTAAAATATCAGACGGTGATATTTTCATTGAAGAGTGTAAAAATTTGTCTTTTCATTTAGTTAATACCCCAGAATGTCCCCAAGTCTCTTTTTAGTTGCACAATAAAAAAAGAAAACTGTTTACATCAATGTATATCTTTCCAGTAGATCATCCCTGCAAGTTTGCGGAGGAACCGATGCTTCAATGGGTCATTATTCTAAAGGGCAGCCTAGTCTATCACAGGCCCTTACACAGACACGCACGGCAAACAACCAAGCATTCAAATTGACACTCAAATGCTAATTGAAAAGGTCACATAGTCTAACCTCTGCTCTTTGTACTGTGGACGGGAGGAGGTGAGGGTTAGACACTAGACAACCTGTTGTAATCACCCTTTGCCTTTTACCCATAAAGCATTCATATTAACAATATGGTAAAGAATGAGACTAGAGTTTGAGGTAGGTTGTCAGATAGGATGTTACTTTTCTATGTTAAATCAGACAAAATCTTTTTTTGGTCTTTTGAGTCACAAAGATAATTTATTTTGATAAATGCCAGAGAATTTGGCAACAGTATTTATTGATATAATTCTTTTAACATTTTTATAATTCAGGTTAAATACAGCTAATTACTAATTAGTTGCCTTTAAGCTGTCTGACTTCTTAACTTATAGAGCAATATTTTGCTTGAATTTTAGCTCATTCCTCCACATAGAACTAGTCTAATTGAGTTACGTTTGTAGGCCAATTTCCTAAATCAGATAATCATGTCCCTGAAATGTTCAGTTTGTGTGAAAGTATTTGATATCGAATCAATTGATGTGCTCCGAGTTGTTTTTGATTCAATCGAAAATACCTTTATGTCTTAAACGGTAGCACCAGTCCCTCTTGCAGCATCCTGCTGCCACCCGAGAGAAAAGCTTGATGAAAATGGCTAAATAAAAAAATAAAAACTCCCTAAAATTCATAACACATCTCCATTACTAGCTGACATATTAGTGTATGAAAAACATGCCTGACAGAAATACAGTACATTCATTAACACTTTTCTACATTACTGATCAGTGGTCAGTGCTAACTTCCTGTTTATTACAGCAATACATGAAGATGTGATGTGGATAAGGATGTATGGTGACATCACGCTGTACAGTGCTTGGTTAATTTGTTTTTAAACACCACAATTTTGCTTTTTCTTATTTTCAAAACTTTTAAAAGTTTGCTTAAAACTGAAATTACGGTTGGATGGAAATGCAACTATTAACATTTCTCTATATCCTTAAAACTACAATTTTCAAATAGTGCTTTTGCCTAAGGTGCTTTTGAAATAATGACTTCTTCCTCTCTGTGTGGCTTTTCAGCCCATGTGGACTGAGGACTTGTTTCACTTCGTATAATGATATGGTCTTACCAACTTCTGCCAGAAGCTTCATAAGGTTTCCTGCTTTTGCTCTTGCTCTCTGTGCATCCTGCCACATCTGTCTCTGGAGCACAAAACCCAATCTCTAGCTCTCCCCATATCTAGAAATTCTAACACAGAATATATTAGGACTAGCTAGATTATTTAGATAACCATGTCATCTGACTTCTACTTTGGATTATCTGGTTAATAGCTGAAGTAGACTACAAGCTTCTACAACCTAGTATTTCTAGTATAAAAAAGCCAGCGTTCATTGCGGCTTTGAAAGCTTCTAAATCCACATTAAACCTAGAATTCTATACAAACAGGATTGGTATATGTTTGTGGGATCTAGTGTTATGCTATTTATGGTGAAGGGCAAATCTATCTAATTAAACTGAATGAAATAAGTTAGCTTTACACCAATAAGGTAGTAAAGTTCTTGCCAAGGGGAAAAATGGCAACTTTTAAGTTTCTCCTTCATTAGCTCCTTCTACCTGGAAAAGGCTTGCCTAATGTTTATCCTTGTTCTACTTCGCAAATGGGCGACCAGCTTTATGTATAAACTGATATAAAATCCTTTGATTATGAAAATGTATCTGATTATTAATGGAGGTAATAATACACCAATAATAACATGTATGTAAATGCAGTCATTGATTTCAGGCAGGAAAAAGAGAAATTGTCACACAATGTCCCTTTAACTTGAATCTTGTGAACTGAGCTATTGCTTGTAAAATCAAGATTTATCATCATCTTGGCTGGCTAGTAATTTTACATTAAATGACACTTTTTTTCCCTCAAATTATTTAATTCGGTTTATTTATATAGCGCCAATTCACAACACATATCATCTCAAGGCACTTTACAGTTCAACCAGATCATATAGTCAGATTGATTCAAAGTTTTCTATCTAAGGAAAACTAGTTGATTTCATCGACTCATTGACTCAAAGGCAATCCCTCACACTAAGCATGCTTGTAGCGAAAGTGGAGAGGAAAAACTCCCTTTTTACAGGAAGAAACCTCCAGCAGAACCAGGCTCAGTGTGAGCGGCCATCTGTCGAGGCCGACTGGGGTTCAAGGAGACAGAAGCAGAGATACAAAATAAAAAAATACTAATTATTTTTGGTGACTTCAGTTGATCTTAACAAGGCAAGTTTTATTCTAATGTGATGTCTGAAAGGTAACAACTGTCATGTGTCCTAATGGGGTTTTGACAACAACCTTATCTTTAAAAAAAGCTTTAATATTATTGCCCTCTGATAAAAATCATTAATATTGGGTAACAATAAAATCATCCTTATTATCATTTAAATTATTTTTGTTCGTAGTACTATTACTACTACTACTGAGAATGATAAAACCAAAAGGTGTTTAAGGGATATTTTCTTGCCATAGTTTTGTCTGTTTTTCTTAAATAATGTTTTAGTTGCTCACTGCTATTAGATAAGTTATCAGACTATTTAGCCCCAGGGAAAGGTACCCCCCCCCCCCCCCCAGCTGCAAATTACACACACTTTGTCTTTAAAGGGAGCTTTCATGTTATTGCCTTCATAAAAAGAGATTTTTTTTCTGTCTACTAATAGTTATTTAATAGTTCAGAAATGATGTATTTTATCTAAGAAAATATCATTAATATTGGGTAACAATAAAATCATCCATATTGTCATTTCCATTATTTTTGTTCATATTACTATGACTACTAATACCAGTAGTCTAGTTGTAAAAAAAAAAAAAAAAAGAAGGGGGATGGTAGAATTATTTTTTTTAACATACATAGCCTAATTAATATAGTCTATTAACCTAAAGAATTATGCATGGTATGGTTGTTACATGTTAGGTACAGAGGTCATTGACCTTTACCAAGGCACCTTGCAGTAGACCTGCAGTCAGTCAATAGACTGGCATGGCTATCACTGCCCCTACATACTGTAGTTAGGGACTAATTTCCCACTGGGATCGGCTTCATATTCATGGTCGGACACTTCTTTGTTTTTTTTTTTGTTCAGGCTACTAGTAAGCCCACAGCCCACCAAATGTTGAAATGACAATATCATTGTCATCACTGTTGATATATAGTAGGAATTTTACACATTCAGTAATAAAATGTGACAGGGGATGGTATGGGGGATGGTCCTTTAAGAAGGGGGATGTCACCCCCCCCTCCACTCAATAGTGACTACTACTAGTGATAATGATTAGTGTTGCAGCGGTACGATAACAGTATCAGGCGGGGCCCGGATCCAGCACTAAAATGGTGGTATCAGTATCGGTGAGTACCTACAAATAGGGCCCGATACCATTTTGAGAGCCAAAAGTTTATTCAGCTATTGTCACGCATTCCATGTAGGCTATAAAACGTTCTACTAGATTCACTTTGTATTATTCTTTTTTTTCCTGCTCCACAAAGGTAGGCAGCAGTTTGACAAACCCATTATTTTACATCCAAGTAGTATGCAGTTCTTCATATACACACACACATCAATTTAAAACAGATGGTATCGGTATTAGGCGATACTGCACAGCCAGGTATCGGTATCGGGGCAAAATAAATGGCATCGGTGCAACACTAATAATGATATAAGCAAATGGTGTTTAAGGGATATATTTTTCTTGCCATAGTTTTATCTGTTTTTCTTAAATAATGTTTTAGTTGCTCACTGCTATTAGATAAGTGATCAGACTATTATTCCAGCAGGATGTGTAACCAGGTGCTGAATGAGAAGCAGGCTGGCGCGTGCAGCCTCATGGAAAGGTAGCCCCCCGGCTGCAAACTTTGGACCAATCAGGACGCAGCTTTTCCTTCCTACAAGCAGGACCAGCAGAGGTTCAACCTCTAAAGAAGAAACTATCTGCTTTCAATTTAAAACTGACAAAGCTCTTCCGCTGACATATAAAACAACCAACTAATTATCACTAAAGGAAACGTTTCCAAGTGATGACAATGTTGGGTATGTACGTGCCAGACAGATTTTCTCTGAAATCGTCAAACGTCCAGGATGGAATCGGTCTTTACACGGCGAGGCGGGTGAAAAAGGTTTGTAGTTTCCCTTTAGGATAAAAAAAGAAAGAAAAACTTTTAGGTTTGAACACCGGGCGCGATTTAAGTTACTTTCAAGGAGTTTTTAATTTTTTTTTAGCATTGTAGAGAGATTGTTTAGCTCGCCTTGTTTCTGAGTCGCTGTCAAAGAGCTCCAGGCTGCTGTGACGTTAGGTGCCACGTAGCTACAGGGTCTGCAGCGGTTTCTCCATGGATTCACCGCCTCCGCGTTCATTTCTACTTTCCTTAATCTTTAAAGTCATTTTACTTCCGACCTAAAGCTCCCTTCACTCCATCCATGCGCTCCTTTTACGCAGAATAAAACTCCCCAAGCGGTTAAAGTCTCTGAAAGTGACGCGCTTCTTCATGCGTCAGCTGAGATACATTGTTCAATCTACAATACTACCGCTTTTAACCACGCCCCTCTTGAATGTTCATTTTGATGTCAAAATATCAGAGCAGAAATGATGAGATCAGTCTGCTGTGTTTTCCCCCTCTGATTTCTTAAAGGTTTTCCCTTCTTTTCCTGTTCCAGGGGGAAAAGTTTGGCCCGTTTGCCGGTGAGAAAAAGCTGCCCAGTGAGCTGGATGAAAGCTCAGACACCAGGCTGATGTGGGAGGTGAATCACACATCTGTGCTCTAAACATTTATATGTTCACACATTTAAAGTGAGGAAACTTAAAGATGATTGGTGCATTCCGCTTAAAGTTACCTCCAAGTTGTAATAACAGAGGAATTATAATTGCACAGCATTGACCATTTTAACAGATTAAAACCTGTTTGTATTTTGAAGTTTTAAGTGTTTATGTGCACCTCCTAAACATTTACACCTTTACATTTACAAGTCTGCATGCTGCAGGAGTTTTGCACATTTTGCTGCAAGTTTTACTGTATTTTAACTTATTTTCAGGAATGTTTTATATAAACAGGTCTGAAACAGGTTTTTGCATCTGTTTTTAAAACTCTTTAAAACCACCTTTTGCTACGATATAGTTTCCAGCCTTTTGCATATGTTTTTCCCAGTTTTCCAAATTAGGAGATGAACCTTGTTTCGGATTCTCTTTAAAATAGCCCAGTTAGGGCTAATGGTGGCGCAGCGCTTATCGTACAAGACCCATGTACGAAGGCCTTAGTCCTCGACATGGGTGACCCGGGTTCAAATCCGGCCTGTTGTCCTTTCCTGCATGTCTCTCCCACTCTCTCATACCCCCTTTCCTGTCAGCCTACTATTCATAAAAAAAAACAAGCCACTAGTGCCGTAAAAACCACAAAAAAACATAAATAAAAAAATAAAATAACCCAGTTAGATTGAATAGATAGTGCCGGTAAACATAGATTTCTCAGTTAAACTCCTCTCTGGAGTTTGACTGGTTAAGTGTTTCACAATTAACCTGGGTCTATTGTAGGAAGGAATGCATGTTTATTTAAAACCTGCATAATGTCTGTAAAATATTATTAGAATTCCATATTTTTACTTTACTATAACTGCAGAAAAGCTTGCAGCCACCACTGTAAAACTGCCACCTCTCTGGTGTTTCTATAGACATTCACTCAATGATTCTAAAGTAATGATTCACATTTGGTTCTGTCATGAGCCTAATGTATGTGTGTATTTATTGTTTCATGTATAATTCATGCACATTGGTATTATGGTTGTAAGATTTGCCCAAATTTGAGGTCACAGATTATTTATTTCCACACTAAATGCTAACCTTATAAAGAAGAGATGAAAGTTAAAATATTTTTTTCAAAGCTTTTACATATTAAATAAATGTATAACTGGTTTTGGGCCACTTCAAGTATTTAGCATGAGACACAAATGAAGCTTCAGCATTGCAGGCAGGACAGCTAGATTATGTGGCAGCAAATACTTAAAGGCAGGAAAAATGTCACGGCTCAGAACAGAGGACACAGTATTCAAGGCAAGATAGACAGAGGGATAACTCAAAAAGCGCTTATTAAAAAAAACATCTGCGGATCTGCAATAGCACCGGCTAGGGCGTCAAAGGCAGCAACTTCTGGAGGAGTCAGGTTAGTGACCACGATAATCAGACGTAGGATGATTATGAATGCATGACAGTTCAGTCCATTCTGAGAGGTGGTAGATTCCCACTGGTCGACCACCAAGATGTAGAGGTTGCCGCACAGAGATTTCCAGACGCTGAAACCTTGAAGACTACAAAAAAAGCAGCAGATCAGATCCAAGCAGATGAAGGATAATCCAGAGGGTCAAGAGGCAGATTCAGGTACAGTTCACAAGTAGAATCCAACAGGAGTCCAAAGACAGGTCAAACAAACAGATCAGAACAGGAACAGGCAGCCTCAGAGGTCCAAAGGAAGAACGGGCCAGGATCAGGCAATCAGGACACAATCAGTTGTGCTAGAAAATTCTCACACCAAAGGCTCAAGAATAATCTGGCACTGATGACTGGGAGCAATCAGTTTAAATAGAAGCTGGAACAGGTGGATATGATGAGCTGTAATAGGAAACTGGGCAGAGCTAGGCAGAAGAATGAAATGAGTAATCAAGCCAGTCCTCAGCGCCAAGATCATGACAATAACTTGGAAAAACTCAGGTGTATAATGCTGCATGTAGTCTTACCAGATAGTTTCAGTACTGACCTTTTGGTTTGGCTTGCATGTGTTCTGAAGAAGTAGTGTTTTAAACCTGAGCCCATGTAGAACATTTGAACGCAGATCTCCTAACATCACTAATTATTTTAAAGTGGGTCAAACCTTTTCATCTTTGTCTTTCGGTTTAACTCTTTCAGGGGTCACTAAAGCAAGTGCTTTGTCTCCATCTAACGTCATCGTTTGCATCTTTTTCTGTCACACCAATTGGACTGAAAGATGAAGTCAAAAATCAATATTGCAACTTTATTTTGATTTTCCTCTGCACTAAGTACAAGTGTGTAGATATAAATTGCAGGATTTTACTATTGTTTGGAAAAATGCTCAGTTCTGCTTGCATGCTTACTTTAAAATGATAGCTGCAACTATGGCGGAAAACTGGCCTCAAGGCCGATTTATACTTCGAAGCTAGGTCGTCTGCGTAGACGTCGCAGTGAACTCAGAGATGTCCCTGTCCCCTCAGCAGACACTCTGCTGCACCTTTCCCGAATTGTAGGTGACCGCAGACATTGCCGCAGACAGGAGGCCTCTGATTGTTCAGATCTACATCCACTCTATTTATGCATATTTCCTGTTTGGTTAAAGTTTGACCAGCTAGAAGGTGTGCGAGACTGCTGGGAACACCTGGATCCCCCGCTCTTTTTCACACTCATGTCCCTCCATTGTCGAACAAACTTGCCCACACTTCCTCGCCGCCTCGGCTGTATCTTGGACCAAGGCTAGTTCCTGATTGTCCGTCTTGTTGTGGTGTGAAATAACATACCACAGACCACGCTTCAAAATTGAGCATAGATCAAAAATGTCTGATCTGCGACATATCTGCGACAAGCTCACTGCGACACACTGCTACAGAAGTATAACCAGCCCTTTAGCATATTACAGCCACCTAAAAGACAGTAGTGAGAGGGTCAATGTCTAGATGTGGTACCTCAGACATGTGGTACCTCTGCGATTTGAAAACACTGTTTGTTATATTGCAATTCGATTGCAAATACAATTGCCCAACCCTTGATATCAACTACTTTCATTTCATTTCATCATTTAATGTGGTTAATTAAATCATTTTTTGAGGGATTGATTAAATCAAAAAGAACCCTAGGAGGTTCTATACTGATCACGGTTGTTATTGAAACCTAAGTTTTAAAAAATCAAATTATTACCATGCAATTTTATGTTTCTTTTGGTTCTTCATTAAAAAAATTCCAAAGATTCAATGCTCCATGATCGCTGTACTTATCTGATATTTGTGTATGGTCCCACCTCTAGTTGATTAGAAAGGTGATGCAGAAGTGTTATTCATAAAAAAACACACATCTGTATGTGCTGCATATTTAGTGTTTTAAATGGTCCTCCAGCTGTCAGAGACATACCTGATGGATCTAAAGTTTTTCTCTAGGATTTGTTGCGCTGACTTTCGAGGCTATCATTGCCAGTTTGCATTGTTCCTTTTCTAGGCTGTTATTCTATTAATTGATCAGAGCGGATAAATACTCAAAACATCTGTAGAGCAATTTCATGCTATCTTAATGCCAATCAAAGAGTTTCTCTTTGTACTCAGAGCCTGATGTTAGCAGATGCTTTAGATCAGAGTAAAAAGGGGGAAGGAATTCTTTCAAAGTTGGCTGCTGCGAGGAGACCATTTTTAAATAATTTTTTATAAAGAGTTCATTGTGTACGAATAAACCCCAAAATGTCCTTTTGGTTTTGTGTATCAGCCACAAGGCTCAGTGGAACTGATTTATTAAAAATGCCACCAACTGTAAAAATATAGATTGGAGGTTAAAGTTGCAGCTATAAGAGATCATGCATAAATGTTTCATAATTAGCAGTTACCATGATTAAAAAGTAAACACTGTATACACTCTTACCAGGAGACATAACTGGAATGTAGTAGAAAACACATCCTTTATCAGAGCACACAGCTGTGTGGGAAAACACAGGTTTATCCAAAGAGTTTCTCTGTTTCTGTGTGATAAAGGAAAGATTTAATTATGCTGCAGATCAGTGAACCAAAGCTGATGTGAAAACTGACTCTCGTCGATTCTTGGTGTGAAATAGCTGATGGTAACGGGTAAAGAAAACGCTGCAGTTATCTGTTGTTGTCATGTTGTGAGGTACAGAGCTGCATTCAATGACCAGGTGTTCACAGTAAAGGCCATCACTCTTTGTTGTACAGAGGAACCAATCTTCAAGAAAAAAAAAACAAATTAAAAGACAAAACAGTTGTTCTCTGAAAGCTCTCACTGTTGCTCTGCTTTCTCTCTTTTTTCAGGTTCGTGGCAGTAAAGGGGATGTTCTGTATATTCTGGATGCAAGTAATCCTCGCCATGCCAACTGGCTGCGGTTTGTCCATCAGGCGCCTTCACAGGAGCAGAAGAACTTGGCAGCTATTCAGGTACATTTCCACTCAGCAGACAATGAATCCCTAAGATTCAAAAACAATCAATAAAACTGGCTGCAGGAAGGAGAAAGTAAAGAGTTGTCTCATTTTCTTTAAAAACCTTGTAAAGAATAATCCATGTTTTCAATTTCCCTTCTATTTTTGGTCAAGAAGGTTAAACTATTTATTGTATTATTTCCTGCAAAAGTATCCATTTCCCTTAAAGTTTTCCACATTTTCTCATGTTACAACCACAAATCTCAAACATGTTTCAATGTGATTTTATTTGACAGAACAGGACAATATGCTGCATAATGGTAATGTAGAAGGAAATGGATTTATGGTTTTTAAAAAATTTTCTTTCTCAGGAAATCCTAAAAGTGTAGCATAGTTCTGTATTTAGCTCCTTTACTCTGGTGATCCTAAAGGAAATCCATTAGTAGTAGTCCTTTAAGCAGTTGTCTCTCTTTTGCATCTTTTGATTTGATTATAGCAATAATTGAACTTTATTAATCTCACACTGGAGAAATTCACTTCTGCATTTGACCCATTCCCTTGGGGAGCAGCTGCATAATCATTGTGACTCTCATGAGCAGGTCATTCAATGCAGATTATGAGACTTTTTATTTCTAATTTTGAAATAGCACCTGATATTTTGTCTGAATTTAAAGGAAATGCTGGAAGTATTGTTGCTATGCAACAGTTGGTGGAAAAAGTATGATTTCGATGCTACATAATATGGTGGGTTGCCAAGTCCAGACAGTGGTGTGGTTTTTTGCAGTTCAATCATGTCAAATCAAGCCCAGTTTGTAAATCTTTAATTGCGCTGCTCAAGGTGACTGTATGTTGAAGTAGCTCAGCTAGATTGATTGTAATAAGAATTTTTAAAAGAACGTCACTTTCTCCATTTGTGGATCAAAGCTTAACCCCCCCCCAACCCCCCCCCCCCCTTTCAAAGATTTTCGCCAATATATTTTCGTTATTGGATATTTGTTAGGACGTGTAGCCATAGCTCTGTTCACATTTCCCCCTCTGCAGTTGCTGACTCAGTCACATGCAATTGTGGCAATAACTGCTGATTTCATTTACGCTTCACTCTCTGTTACACATCCAATGGGCCAACAATTTGTCAGCTCCTGTACAAGAGAAAATAAAGCTTTGGGCTTGTTTTATGCAAATGTCTAGGACTCATACGTCTCTAATGTAAGACCTGCTCTTGTCACGGTTGGGTTGAGGTTTTGAGGACCCAATTAATTAACTGAGGCAAAGATTCAAAAACAAAAGTACAAAAATACAATTAACCAAAAACCAGAAAACTTCAGGGGAAAAGTCACGTGGGGAGCCAGGGAAAGACGAGGAACCAACACTGAGAAACTGCACAGGGAGAGTATATACCGGTATAGGAGACAGAACAAAGACTGGACTAATGAGCTGAGAAGGAACAGGTATGTATGGAAGCATCTAGAAGGAGCTACAAATACAAAGAAAATAAAAATAAACTTGAACAGAGGGCAGAACTCGGATGGCTCTTGGGAAAACGTATCACAATCTTATTTTTCTCTGCCCAGATAATATAATGCCTGCACTTCTGTGGAGTAAAACGCAAGCCCACCAGAACAGTGAGATCCTTCCGCAATAACAAAACCTTAAATCACTAATGATCCTAAGGAGCTGCTGAACAAGAAAAAAAGAGCCTCCAGGAAGGGTGACAAGAAATGATCAAGGACGACTAAATTATACTGAAGCAACTTGAGGTCAAAATAAGATAAAACATGGAGGCATACAGAAAGAAGCTGGAAAGCAGGCTCCTGCAGGGCAATCTCAGAGATGTCTGTTCAGGGATGAAGGCGATCACAGGGTTCAAGTAGAAGCAGGATCAGACAGATCAGCTTGGCATCTTTCTCTGCTGCCCACTGCAAAACTGACATTCTTTGATCCAAAGATTTCCTGTCATGCCTAAAATCTTTCCTCATCTACTGTACCTCTGCTGTGACCCCCTCAGCTTCTTGGCATTTGTCCTCAATCAAATTATGGACATCTGTCTGTCTCACGTCAAGTGAAGATGCGACTGGAGAGGCTGAATCACAATAAGGCACGAGGTCCAGATGGGGTCAACCCTCTGTGGGATTCTACAGCACCTCTTCCACCAATAACCCGATCCCAAAGAAAACTTAGCCATCAGTCATCACTGACTTTAGACCTGTTGACCTGACATCCCTCCTGTTGGTCCAGATGAGCAAGCAGACAAGCAGCTCTCAGGACATACTGCAGTTTACTTATCGCCATAGAGATGGAGCTGATGACTCCATCATATACCTGCTTCAACAAAGCCACTGTCGTTTAGACAAAGCAGACAGCGCTGAGAGGATCATGGCCTTCAACTTCTACAGTGAATTTAAAACAATTTTGTCTGATAATTTCAGAAACTCCAGAAGACTGAAAAGAGGCATCAACAAGCATCAGGGTCAGACTGGTAACGATTTTTAGCCCTGGCATTTTTCCCTCTACACCGGCCCACTACCGCGCGCACAACCCCCACCCCCCTACGACCCCACCCCTAAGGAAACAAAAATAGTAGCGCAGTCAAACTGCGTCTCAAAGGTGAAACACAATACAATTACACATTCACGATTAACCATGACCAAGACTTCTATACAGTGATCCCTCGCCACTTCGCGGTTCACTTATCGCGGATTCGCTATTTCGCGGATTTTCATAATGCATTTTTTTTTTTTTTTGCATTGTGCTCTGCATTCTGATTCGCTAAAAACTCACTCCCGCTTCTTGTATCAAAACATGCTACGAATTGTGCTATCATTTTGTCGTCTCGTGCAGTTGTGTACGTACATAAAACAGCTTGGCAAATTTACATTAAGTTGGCCAAATTATCTTGTAATTTCGAACATCTCCTAAACCCATAATGTCGACGAAACGGCCTGGACCGACAAAAGCACCTGCGGATGGGACCAAACGGCGGAAGATGCTACTTATCTCAGATAAAGTTAAACTTCTGGACATGCTAAGGGAAGGTAAAAGCTATGTAGCCGTTGCTCGCCATTACGGAATCAATGAATCTTCCGTTCGTTACATAAAGAAGGAGGAAAAAAACATAAGGACGACAGCAGCAGTCAATTTTAATACGAATGCAAAAAGGGTTGTAACTGTCCGCAACAAGACCATGGTACGGATGGAGACGGCATTAGCTCTGAGGATTAATGACTGCAGGAAAAAAAACATAACCCTGGATACAAACGTTATCTGCACAAAAGCGAGAATGCTGTATGAAAACTTTGCTGTCAGTGATGGGGAAGAGGGAGAGGATGCCGGGCCCTCAGCAAGTGCTGCTGACAAAGTGCCAAGCGCATTTAATGCAAGCAAGGGCTGGTTTGAAAAGTTTAAGAAACGCTTTGGACTTAAAAATGTTTGTCTGCACGGTGAGATGGCGTCTGCGGATACCGCTGAGGCAGAAGCCTTCGTGAACAATAAATTCAAGGCGATCATTGAGGAGGGGGGATATAAGCCCGAACAAGTTTTTAACATGGATGAGACTGCCTTATTTTGGAAACGAATGCCCTCCCGCACCTTCATCATGCAGGAAGAAGCCAAAGCCCCAGGATTTAAAGTTCACAAAGACCGTTTGACCCTGGCTATGTGCGGAAATGCCGCAGGTTTCATGTTTAAACCGGGGCTGATTTACAGGTCTAAAAATCCCAGGGCGCTGAAAAACAAAAATAAGGATGATTTGCCTGTTTACTGGATGTACAATGCAAAGGCTTGGATGACAAAAGCGCTCAATCTGGATTGGTTCAAAAACTGTTTCATCCCGGAGGTCAAGTGTTATTTGAGAGGAAAGGGACTGGACTTTAAAGTGCTTCTGCTCCTTGACAACGCCGGAGGTCACGGTAATGATTTGGCATATGATGGTGTGCAAATCGAATTTCTGCCGCCAAACACTACATCCCTGATTCAGCCCATGGACCAAGGAGTCATCCGTGCTTTCAAGGCTCTCTATACGCGCAACACCCTGCAACATCTTGTTGACGCTATGGACTCGGATCAAGATTTCTCACTGAAGGACTACTGGCGTGGATACACCATCGCATCGTGTCTCCAAAACATTCAGAGGGCCATTCAGGAAATGAAAACGGAAACTCTGAAGGCCTGCTGGAAAAAACTATGGCCAGAGGCAGTGCAAAACGCAACCGGAGGCTCGCTTGACGAGGTCCACCACTCTGCCGTAGAAACAGCTGTGAATCTGGCTAAACAGACTGGAGGAGACGGCTTTAATGACATGAGTCCGGATGACATAAACGCCCTGATTGATGGAGACGCACAGCCGCTGACCGATGCAGAGCTGGCAGAAATGACAAAGCCACAAAGCGACGATGAAAGAGAAGAGGGAGAAGAGGACACGAGAGATGAGGAGGAAGGACTAACGGTTGGTCGCTTAGCAACCATGGTGCGAATGGCCACTGAACTTAAGCGAGTAGCTGAGGAATGGGACCCTTTGATGAGCCGTTCATTACAGTTCTCCAACGTAATCGATGGTGGCATGTCGGTGTACAAGGATCTTTTTGCAAAGAAGAAAAAAGAGCGACAACAGCCGCTTATCACTATGTTCTTCTCCCGAACAAACACACCTGCACCGCGGGCTTCAGAAGAAGAGAACACTGCAGAGCGCAGTCAGGATGCAGCGGCCCAGTCTGAAGAGCAGTGAAACGGCCTACACGTGAGTCACTGTATTTGTATACTGTACACGTAATAGTTGCTAATTGTAAAAAAAAAAAAAAAAGTTTTCTATTTCGCGGATTTCACTTATCGCGGGTCATTTTCAGAACGTAACCCCCGCGATAAACGAGGGATCACTGTAATGCAGCTTTGGTTATTAACGCAACAGTTACTGCTGCTGCGTAACATCCACACTTGCACGAAGGCAGCCAGACACCCACTCACACATACTAGGTCTACAACGTCAGTCCGAGTGTTGTAAAACACCAACGTAAAACAATATAGAG